TGTAATTTGGCAATCATGCAATGATGCAGTCACCCTCCGTTTTTTTCATGTGTTCATCCTCTATTTTCACATGACAACTTAGTCTTCAGAACCTAAATATGTTGGTAAGTGAGGAGTGGGTGTTCTTTGCAAAGCAAGAAGTCGTATTTAGTCTTACCCAAAATAAAGTGATTCAGCTGCTATGAGGGTATGTGTGATCTGAAACTAAAGGAATGTCACCATGTGTGAAAATCTCTTTTGTTTTCTTTTTAAATTGATTTCCACTCAGAAAATAATCTGACTTGGACAAGAAGTGCAACCTGTTTCATTTGCTTCTCCTCAAAATATTGAACACATTTTCATTCAGTACTTAGGGAATGAAAGCAAGAAATCAGACACAGCAAATACCAATGTGGGATATCATGTTTTCAGACTAAGTTTAAGGGACAGAGAGAGTGCCCTGTGCCCTGAGGTCCTGGAGGAGACGCTTGTTGAGATCAAGAGGGGGCCTCAAGGCTATCACCATTTGGATATGACCTGCCTTACATGGGACAGGGCCTACAGTACCCTGTCCCTACCTATAGTGCCTACTCCCCGGGACCATGGGGATTTCTCCTATCCACAGATCAATATAGGCTATGTGGAAACCAGAACACCTCAGTTCCAACTCAATTCTGGCACTAACTTAGTCTTTTAGTGATTATGGGAGGATCCTCAGTTTCCCCACCTGTAAAAGGGAAGGGTGGATGGGATGATTTCCCAGGGCACTTAAGGTCTAGTTTAGGGCCTCCTCACCCTCCCCACCTTCACTTCAGTCTCCAGGCAATTTTAATAAAACTTCAGGCGGCGCTTTGCTTGGAGATGAGAGACTGGTTGAGTAAACAAACAGCCTCAGAGTCCTCGTTTCTGAATCTGTGCCTCAAGCTGGACTGTGAGTCTCCATGTCACCCTGGACAACATTCTCCAAGTCCCCTTCTTTGGCCATATAAGGAAGAAGGAGGACAGAGACTCACTGACACAGGTTACAAGCACGGGGCTAAGGAGTAAACTCCGGCCTCCAAAGACCTCGGTGACTAACCAAGAATGAGGAATAAATCACATGCCACTCGTCACCTCCTCTTTGTCAAACACTCCAGAGCCCGGAGCTGGGGCACACGAAGGGAGGCACTCTGCCATCCTCGGGCCTTCTGGAATGTTTTGTGAAGGACACAAGTGGCACCCTTGAGGCCTGGACCATCGGAGCCCCCTCCCCCGAGACCTGACACCCATCCCTCATTCACCTTGCTCAAATCCATAATCCAGCCAAGCAAAAGCACATCCCCACAGCTCTGCGTTGGTCTCGCTGGCCCTGAGGCTGTTCTTCCTTCTCCTCACAGTCCTATCCTCTCCTGTCCCATCAGGAACTGTCTTCCCAGAGCACATCTCTGATTGGTGCAGACATAGCCTACTTTCCCTAAACCTACCTTTCAAAGTCCCTCAGTCTCCCAACTCTCTTTCAACTTTTCTTCCACTAGGTGCCCAGAAGGACCACTGGATGTGTCCCATGGCTGTCCTGTACCTCCTCTTTGTTCCTGTGGTCCCCTCCACCCTGGATGCCATAGTCTCCTCTTAACTTCTGAGATTCTGTCCACCCGACTGGATTAATCTCAGATTCCACCTCCTCCAAGAAGTCTTCTCTGATCCCTGCTCCAGACTGAGGTCCACCCTCCAGTGACCCCTGTGGTCCACTGTTTGCGATGTGCTTGAGCACCACGGGACAAGTATTTCTGTGCCTGTCTTTCCTCCCTTCCTATGTGGAATCCCTGGAGGGCATTCAAAGCTTAAGGTCTCCCTCGAGCAATGACTGGTAGATTCAAACAATCAGCCTTTTGGTTAGTAGCCCAATGCTTCATCCACTGTGACCAGGACTCCTCATCTATAACATAAGAGTGCACAATACCCTGTTTTATCTCCACTTACAAGATTATTGTGCTCATTAAATGAGATAGTGGATATAAAGCATCATAACTGCTCAATAAATTAACTTTCCAAATAATATGAGACTCCCTGGAGTTTAATGTAACTATTAAAGCTAACAACTTCATAGTTTGCATCTGTCAGCTCCTTAGTAGCAGAGATTCTTATTATCTCTATTTTACAGGTGAGGAAAATAAGGCTCAAGGAAGTGAAATTCTTGCATGCTGTGTTCAGCGGGAATGAGAGCTACATTTAGTGCTGACTCCATCTCTGGGCTCTGAGAAGACAGCAGTGAAGGGGGGGCACACAGCACAGTCTTTGTTAGCTGCCACCTCAGGGACCACAGTGCTCTGGGTGAGTTCTGGCCAACGTTCCGCCCCAGGAGCCAGGCTTCAGCTGACAATGGGTAGGAACTGACTCTGTCTGCTCGGGAGAGGAATCACATGAGTATCCAATCCCAGGGTGAGGTCCAGAGCCAAGGCGGGGACACACCTTTGTTCACCTGCTCTGCCCCTCCTGCTTACAACAGAGGTTTCGTCGTATTTGTACATCAGAGAGGATACTGCGGGTGGGTGATGCCACCAGTAATGGAGCGAGAGAAGGAATCTAATTCAGTAAATTCCCATGACAAGACCACTAGTGGCTCGGTGTGGCCTCTGCATGAATTAGGAAAATGGCCCTCTCTAGAGGCTTCAGATGGAGCTTGCAAATCCTTGCTTCCAAAGAGCAGCCTGGTTTCACCCTCTCCAGGACGAACCTGTTTGTTCTCCCCACAGTCCATGGTATAATCAATACTCTTCTCCACACCACAGCTCAAAGGCATCCATTCTCTTTCTATCATCTCTAGATGAACAAGGCTTCACATTAAGACACACGGTTTGCTTTTGAATGTGGTGGGTGGGATGGATTCTGACCTGCTCCACTTCAGGCAGGTGCAACCATTCTGCACAGTAATGCAGAACATGCATGGACGACATACAGTCCTGCTCACCAAGCACCCCTGAAAGGCCAGCGCCAGTGCTGGGCTTCAGAAATGACAGGCACAGCACAGGGAAGCCTAGGTGCCGACGGAGCACAGAGGAGGGAGCACTTTCATCTCCTGGGAGGAGGGGTGGAGAAATGAGCTACAGGTGACTAGAGAAGGAAGTATTGTGCTGGCAAACTAACCCCTGGAGGTGGTGGGATGGGAAATGCTGTGGCCTGTTTGGAGCATCTGACAATATCCAGGGTGTAAGTAGCCCCACCATGAGTGATTTCAAGGTGCCAGTGAGCAGTCACTGACCCTGACTTGGGGGACAATGTGCAGAATCAACTCTTGCAGGCTGGTTTGGCTGGCTCCAGACCACCACTGGGAGATGGGAGTCACTGCAGCTGAACCTGGAAGGAAAAGGAGGATTTCTCCAGGGAGAGAGAGGGGAGGGGAGGGTGTTCCAGGAAGAGTGGGGGGCAAATGTGCAGAGGTGTGAAGGTGAGTAGGGAGCAAGTTGTACAGAGTTTTGAATAAGTGTCTGATTAGCAAAGAACATTCCAAGTACCCTGGAGATGGGTGGTGTTTCAGCTCTTGACCCAAACAGCAATCTCAGGCCTGTTAAGGATTCTTCAAATAGTACATTTACATCTCATGTACTTATATGTATATTTATCATATTTATAATAAAAAGACAACCAGCACTGACAAGTCTTACTCAGGTATAACAACTGTTTACAATTTCGTAACATTTCCTTCTGAACTATGCATATCCTTACATACTCATTCAGTACAAATTTTGTGCAGAAAATTTAAAAAAGCAAATGTTTTTGCATTAACTGAAATCTCCATAATGAATAAATCATGTGATGCAATGGGATCTGGTGGGTTGAGTGTGGGTTTTCTAATAAGGAGAGACCTGAATCCAAACTCTGCTACCTGCAGTGCTCAAGTTGTGCCTGAGAAAGTTGCTGCTCTTGAACCTCTTTGACCTGCTTCTTCCTCCAACCAGGACTGCTAATCCTCACATCTGCTGTGAAGATCAGAGCCTGGCCCTCAGTAAACACGGAGCACATGCAACAACAGCACAAGATCTGTTACCAGCATCATCGTAGAACATCGGCGTTGCTGGAGTTGTCCTGACTGAACCATAGACGTTACAGAGAGATGATAATTCCATAAACGTAGAGACAAACAATAATTTTCCCAGGAAGAGGAACCTAGACAGCTGCTGTTGTTAGGTGCCATCGAGTCAAGTACAACTCATAGTGACCCTATGAACATAACAGCAGATGTGAACACCGTCCTATCCTGTGGCATTTTCACATTCTCCAACACACCAAGCCCACTGCTGCGGTGACTGTTAATCCACCTGATTGAGGCTCTTCCTCTCCTTCACCATCCCTCCACCTGTCCAAGCATGATGTCCTCGATGAGGTGGATTGATTCAATCACTGGGATAATGGGGGTAGGTGTGCCAGAGACAATAATTTGACAAGCGATAGAGCAGATTTTAGGGCTGTTGTACATAGGCATGATGTCCTCCTCCTAGGAATAGCCTCTCCCAGCAACATGCTCAAAGTATCATCTTTGCTTCTAAGGAACACTCTGGCTGTACCTTCTCCAAGACACAGCTGACCTAGACAGAAGGGACTCAAACGCCTATTGAAAGGGGTGGAAACATTGTGTTTAAAGAAACTAGGGATATTTTAGCCTAGGAAACAAGATGCCGATGGTTTCTGATCTCTGTGTCCAGGAGTGTCCTGTAGGCAATAGAGGACAGAACAGTCTTTGAGGAAGCTAATTCCTACTTAATGTAAGGAAAGATGTTCTCAGAGTCAGCACTGTAGAAAGTTAAAGGCATTATCTTGGTAAGGAGTGAGTTTCTCCATTACTAGGTGTGAACTAGCAGGATCTGGAAGAATACTTGGGGGGAAGGATGAAGGAAGGTGAGCATGGTAGAGAGGTCTAGACTGGACCAGCCCTGAGGTTTCCTAAAGCTGGACCCCCTGGGTGTCTATGATCAGCCCTGCAGCATGCAGGACAAGGCACAGACTTGACAGGTTTAGAAGTACAAAGGGGCTCTTCCTCTTCTTACCTGGTTATCAATTTTTAGCTCCACAAGAGACGTGTTGTGTGGAAGGGCTTCCACCAGTCTCAGGATCCCGGCTCCAGAAATGAAATTGGATTCCACATTCAGCGTCTTCAACACCTTGTTCACCTTGAGCATCTCAGCAAGGGCCTGGGAGCACAGGAGGGGTACAGGGGTACTGGAAAGTCACACAGAACAAGACTGGAGCCCCTCCCAGGTCTATGCGAAGATACCGAGAGCTTTGCTGGGAGCAAGAGGCCCTGACCCACTCACACTGACCCAAGTCAAATAATTTGTTTCTCCTCCTCTAGTTGCCATGGTTCTGGAAGGTTCACTACCAGAGAATGCCATGCTCATTAGCTTTCAAGCCAAGTCTTCTATAACAGCCCAAATGTCCAACCACAATCAAATGGACTGAAACATTTTGGTATATTCCCACAATGGAATACTACACAGCATTCAAGAGCAATGATTTCTAAAATGACTACGTAACTTGGGAGAGACTGGAGAGTATTATGCTGAGTGAACTAAGTCAGTCCCATAAGGACAAATACTGCATAAGACCATTGGGTGAGACTGAGAAAAACTGGATAAATTATGTATACTGCATTGAAACAGATGAGGGAGAAAACTGTCTAAAAGCAATATAGGACTGGGTATTATGGTTATTACAAGAGTCCAGAATGAAGGTTGCATAGTGGAGTGTACTAGGGCAGGGTGGGGGGATTGTATACCAATGAAAGAATTTCTCTTTCACTTTTCAAGAGAAGAGCGAACGGGGGGTGGGGGTGGGCAGGGAGAAAAATGCAACAATGAATGAATGGAAATCCAAAATCTTTGTAAATGTTCATTAAAATTAATAAAAAATTAGAAGGATAACTAGTAAAACATATATGGGAGTACAAGGGGGAAAGAGGTGGGAGTAGAAGGATGAGGATGGACGAGGGGAAACCGTGGGTCCCACAATTTCGTGGTGGGAGGGGAGGGGCAAAGGAAATGGGAAAGATCCAGCGGGGATCTGAAAAGACAGAGTAATGGGGGGCATAGTTCAATGATGATTAATTTTATAAAACACAATGAATGGGAATGATTATATGAAAGACAATGTGAATGGTGGAAAGTATGAAACACAGTGTATGCAAATTTTGTATGCAACCCAATATAGAATAAAAATGTTAAAAAATTATTTACAGTCTTGGAAACCCTATGGGGTAGTTCTCTGTCCTACAGAGCTGGTATAAGTTGGAATCAACTTGCCGACAGTGGATTTGGTTTTGGCCTTAGATGCTTTATCACTTTCCATGTCTTACTAATTCCTGTACCTCATCCGCTCTTAGGGCTGCAGTAATCACACTGTACAAACAGGCTGCGAGGCTGTGAGGGCAGAGCTGAGCTAAGCTCCCTTGGCCACAACTGTATTCCCAGAGCCTAACTCAGTGCTGGGCACAGAGATACTCTTGAACATGTGTTGAATGGGTTTGGTGGTTTTTTGGTTGTTTTTTTTTTTATAAGATTTAAACTTTTACAAAGAATTATTCATAGCTATTTTATAAAGAGTTGTTATTGTTGTTATGTGCCGTTGATTTGCCTGCGACTCATAGCAACCCTATGTACAACAGCCCTAAACTCTGCTCTATCGCTTGTCAATTTATTGTCTCTGACACACCTACCCCCATTATCCCAGTGATTGAATCAATCCACCTCATCGAGGGTCTTCTTCTCCTGCACTGTCCCCTCTACCCTCCCAAGCATGACGTCCCTCTCCAAGGAGTGATCCCTCCTTGCAACATGTTCAAAGTTCAAAGTATGTCAGATGAGAGTATGATTATTTAATTTGAACAGCGACATCTTTAAATACATGTGTGAAAAATAAAGTTGGTCTCCAGAGCCTATTAAAATATCAAGTTAGAGACGGAGACACTGAGGCTCAAGAAAGGGCAAACACATCGTGCAGAGAGAAGAAAGGTCTGGCTTCAGCATCCTAGCTCCACTGTTTGCTGTGTGACTTTTGATCAAGCAGGTTGCCTGACCTCTCTGAACCTCAGAATATTCACCTTCAGTAAAGACAGACCTGCACCTCAGGGTCAGGGGACAGTGGTGAGGATTAACTGGAGCAATTCCTCAGTGGTGTCTGGGTAATGGCCTTCCCCTCACGTCCCCTTTCCTGGCTCCTAACCCTGTGTTTTCTCACTACACTGTACAGGGCTTCTTCAGCCAAGGGCCACAAATATTAGTCCTTATGTTTCTGTGCACCTGAGCCCTCAGCGCAGCCACAACAGAATGGTACGTACATACGCCACAGGATCATTGCTCCGTGTCCCAACGATGCTGAACTTCTTCACGTAAGAGTTCTCTTTCAGGGCTTCTGCATAGGCCTTGAGGGTGGGTATGGGGATATTCTAGAGAGAAAGGCAGGCAGTGACCAGCAGCCCTGAGTGCAGGGCAGGAAGGCGCAGACAGATAGGGCAGCTGGTCTCCTCACTGGTTCTTAGCAAGCTCTGAGTAAAAGGCTGTGTCTGACCAAAGTGCCCTGGCTCTGTCTGCTGCCTGGTTTTGCCCCAGATGGATTAGATTTGAGAGCTGTGGGGTCAAAAGATTGAGCAAACTCCCCCTGAGGACTTCAGATAAGACCTGCAACTCTCTCCCTCTGCATGTAGAGAGTAGAAAAGAGAACAAATCAAGGCAGGAGGCAGAGAGGGGCATCTTGCAAGATGAGGACTGGGGGCTTGACCTATACCCCAGTTGTGTTTCCAATTCATTGTGTTATATTCACTCACATTCAACCTCATTTTACAGCCCTGGAAGGAAGTTGTTGGGCTATACATTGAAAGGAATCTTCCAAGTTCCCTGCCTGTATTTCTTTGGACGTATTTCTCTGGAAGCTTACTGGATCCCCTCTCTTGCCCTGTTTTTGGAAAGTATGGTTGGAGTTCCATGAGATGATCTCTAAGATGTTGATCCCATTGGGTCTCAGACCTGGTTGTACATCACAGGCTCCTGGGGAACTTTTACCAAATAAATACTGATGCCCAGGCCCCGTCATAGAACAAGGAATTAAGAATCTCTCTGAGGGTGTGGCCTGGGCACAGGCATTTTTAAGAATTTCCTCTGGTGAAAACCACTAACGAAGTCCAATTGCCTCATTGTACAAGAAGGAAAACTGACTCCCAGAGAGGACTGTGCACTTGGCTGACACCCACCGTCAAGGATGCAGAACCCAGACAGGGCTCCAGCACCCTGTATGGCTCTGAGCGGGCATTCACTCCAGTGCACACAATACTGAACTGTGTCCGCCTCCCAGGAGACACACAGCAGACAACTGAGGCACCGGCGAGGGGGGCTCTGGCTGTGTTCTCACCAATCTCTCATTTCAGGGTGTCATTTTAGCTCCCCATGGGAGCAGAGCACAGGGGGCAGGTGGAGGAGAACACTGAGGGTGCAAGCTTCCAATCTGATTGTGCTGAGGGGCTGGCAGCCACTTACAAGAAAGGGGAGAAGAAAGGAAAGAGGAGCAGGGAGTGAGGGGCTGGCTTCTTGTCTTACTCTCCCTGAACCGATCCCACAGGCCCTGGAGCCGAGCAGGTGGGTGGGCAGCTGTGCCTGCTTCTGAATTCCTTTTGTGATCTGCCCAGGGTAGGGCTGCCTGTCCATCTGTCCCTCCTCTAGCCTTGGCAGCCACCAGAGGAAATGGCAGAGAACTTGGAAGATGGCTTTGGACATTGGGGCCAACAAGCTCCCTTTTAGGGCTGCAGAGCGAGGCTGCGTCTAAACCTGACAGAGCAGCAGTGGGGACAAGGAAGGTCCTTCTCAAAGGCTGGGTCTCCTCACTGGTGTGGTGGATACTGGCGTTTTCTGGCCTTCAGATCGTGTGAAGCAGCGTGTGGCTGACTCACAATTTTATCTCAAGAACCTCTCAGTGTTGTGAACACATGGAGGGTTTCCAGAGACAGAGTGGGGCTGGTCCGTGGGAAGGTCTGAGCCTGATGTTTGTTTACACTGTCCATTCATCTCAGACGCCCCCCATATTGGCAAGGTATTCCCCATATTCCTGATCCAGAGCCTCCAGAGCCCACACAGGACCTTATTCACTCTGTCTTTCCAAGACTGGGCTGCGTGGACACGCCTTTCTCCGAAATGAAATGAAAAGACTTTACCCGGATGTTATTGAGGTTAACCTCTTCAAGTTCAGGGTCATTGTTCTTTATCCGCTCCAGCGTCTCTTCTACGTCTGTGGAGTTGGGTTCTTCATCAGGCACGGGCTTGTACTGTGTTGGTTTGATCACACCTAGATAGAGTGATCAGTAAATGACACATAAACACAAGGACACAGACAGGAAGCATCAGCAAGACTCGGGGGATGCCGGGAGTGGGATGTCATGGAAGGAGGGCCACCGATGGGGGCCAGGAGGCTTGGGCTCTCTGCCTGTAACGATCTGCAGTGACATAAATTCTCAGAGCCTCCATGCTCTTACTATAAAAGGAGATCATTAATTTTACCTACATTTATAAGTTGGGGTTTTTTTGGCTGCTTGAACAATACATTTATTGTTTTTATCTGAAAAATCTTCACAGAAAATTGGTTTAGCTATCAGTTCTTTATTAGTTTTTGTAAGAATAAAATGAAGCCTGGATGGGGGAAAGAAAAGTATAATTGTTCCAGAGAAGGGGGACAATTATTCTTTTGGTGCCCTCATTCCTATCTGAGGTCTAGGCACAACAGTGCAAGTGATGGGAGCAGTGGGTAAGAAAACATTGGAATAACTGTGAAAGGAAGGAAACAGAAGCTCATGGAGCAGAAGGGATACCCAGAAATTATCGGAATGTGTAAAATGATAATAACAAGTGGAGCCCCAGATCAATGCTAAAAGGATCCAACTACATAAAAACTGGCATCAGGGGGAGCTCTGGTGGCCTAGTGGCAAGGAGCTGCAACTACAATCCCAGAAGTGCACGGTTCAAATCCACCAGATGCTCTGCCGGGGAAGGAGGGACAATCTCCTCCTGTACCAGTCAGATCTGCTTTGACGGTACACTCACACAAAAATAATAAAATAAAAAAAAATTTAAACAAAACAAAATTGGCATCAGGACAATTGGGTAGCCTTTAAAAAAAACAGAAAAAAGTTTTGGTCTCCCCTCACACCATACACAAACAGGAAGTCCTGGTGGAACAAGAACTTGAATATAGAAAATGAGCCTCTGGCTGCTTAGAAGAAAACGTAGGGCATGCTTTTTAACTACATTGGGATGGAGGGTATCTTCATTAATGGGATACAAATTCTAGGAGACTGAAGAAGAAAACAGGGACAGAACTGACTACATAAAATTTTAACAATTCTGCAGGGAGCCCGGCGTGCAGGGAGCAGAGGAAAGCAAGCAGTCCAGGTCTCTCACATCCCTGAGTGGCCCTGGGTGGAGGGGAGGGCTAGGAGGAGCTGAGCTGGCAGAGCTGAGTACTCACTATTGAGGCCCTCCTTGTTCACGATGGAGCTGCTGCCCAGGGCCTGGTAGTACTGCTGGTTGCTCATGAGGGTGTGCATGCCCAGGATAGCTGTGGAGAAGAGGGAAGGCCCAGGGCTTACCTCTCAGATTGACACATAAAACTCTCAGAGACGGACACGCCACACTCCAGGAATTTTTGCTCATAGAGATGGCAAGGAATACTTACATGACAACTTGAATAACATCTCTTTATTTGTTCTCTCTCTTCTTTTTACATGGTTCTCAAGTCTGTTCCCAGCCTAGACCTCTCTAGGCCTCACAATCCGACTCCTGGCTCTTCCCCTTGCCCCAGTGTCCCACTGTCCTTCCAACCTAACTTGACCTAAACAGTCCTCAGCTTTCCGGGCAACTGCCTCTCCCTTTGGCTCATCCCCCATCGTGTCATCCAAGCTCTCCCTCGGGTAAAACCTCAGGCAGGTGGTGCCTCCTCTTTTCACCAAGCCCTCACCTTTCAACACAGCACATTCGATGTCCCCCATGTCACGCAGACCAGTCCTGTCCCAGCTCATCACCTCTGTCCCGGCAGAGGATCCATCAGTTCTTTGACTGAATGATCAGGGCTTTGTTGTCACCGGTGCCCTGGCCTCAATCTCTTCTCTTCTCAACTCCAGGATTTAGCAAAGTGCAGTCAGAAAGATCTTTCTGGAAATGCTAAGCTGACACTGCCTCTCCCATGCTCACTCACTCATTTATTCTGTATCGACTGAGTGCCCCCATCATGTGCTTGCCTGGGGGGGGGGTCTGAAGAGAACAATGAATAAGCAAAACAGGGACTCGAACATGAAGTTTATAGTTTGCTAGGGAGGGAGACCATAAGCAAGTAAGCACATAGTTACAAATATAAGTGTGACAAGGGTTGTGCAAAAAGGGCTGTGTGAGCAGGGTGACCATAGCAGGAAGCGAGGATGGGAATGATGAGTAAGTGTTGGTACATATTTACACCACAAATTATTCATTGTTTATCTTAAGTTCAAATTCAACTAGGCTGCCTGTATTTTAAAACCGCTCTACCTCTATCCTTTAAAGCTTTGAGTATCCATTCCTCCTTTATGGAGGCTTCCTGGATTCCTCTCTCCTCCATTGGTCTCCTATAACATCTGCTATGTATTACAGCATATGATCTATAGAGTGTTAGAGATACCTGGATACACACATTCCTCCTTTACTGGTTTGTAATTTTCTACAGATCAAGGAAGAATATTGTCTCCTTCCCTCTCTTCTATAATACACTCGATATTTGGTAAATATTTGGTGATGGTTTTTCAACCTCCAAGCCATTTCACTAAATATTGTTTCCAGTTAAGAGAAAGAACACACAAGCCCATGACAAGGAGATACAAAGTCCAGTCCTGAGGATGCCACTGCCACCAGTGTGACCTCTGGGTACTTTTGTTGTTGTTTTTGTTGTTATGTGCCATCGAGTCATTTGCGACTCATAGCGACCCTATGTACAACAGCCCTAAACCCTGCTCTATCCTGCGCCAACCACACTGCCTCTGACACACCCATCCCGATTACCCCAGTCAC